AGCAACATGACTCATTTCATCGAGTATCCTTTTAACTTCATCAATATTAAGAGTAGCAGCAAAAGAACTAATCCACAAATTGTAAGTGAAGATATCGGGTAAAACCTTCTGCTGTTTTAGATCTTCAACAACCAATGGGACCTTTTCAACCTGCCCAACTGACATGTATAGAGTCATCATTTCATTGTACATTAGGGCATTAAAGGACAGGTTTGAATTTTTTATCCTTTGATAAAGCTCCTCAGCCTTTTCAGTGAATTTTGCTCCTGCATATGAATGAAGGAGGGCAGTATAGGTTTCGCTTGTCTTTGCAGAAAGAGGTAAGCCCTCAAAATAGCGCTCCGCAGCATCAATGCCAAAAACTTTGGTCATGAGGTCTATGCGGATTGCATAGTCGGAGTCTGATAACTCGTATTCTTCATGGGTAACCATCCATTCAGATATCTGCAATCATCAATAGTCAGTAAGTACTCAGTCAGTTAGCATTCAGATCATATTCCAAAACTAAAACATTATAGAAAATCAGATCTGTGATCTCCAATTGCCAAGTCAGATTTCATGACATCTGGTAATCATGAAAAGAAGCTGATGATACAAATTTGTAAAGACCCTGAAAACTCACAACTTAACCACCAGCCGTTGGAGGATTTGACCCTGAAAAGCCAGAACTTAACTGCCAGCCTTTGGAGGATTTGAGGTTGAGAAGAACAGAGATAATGCATGGAAGAGAGCTTGACACATAGACAAATCAGGTATTTTTTCTTTTCTTTTTTGGTTTTCAATAGCTAGTATAGTTCTAAAATTCTTGCCCCTCATGATAGTTATATAGTTTATTCATATATTTCCTTTCTCTTCAGTGTTGTGTTTCTTCTTAAACTTACCTTGCCTGCAGGACTTGAACAACTTAGAAGTTTATACATGGTAAAAGCTATAATCATGAAGATGTAGAACTCAACATGTAATATCTTTGGCAGAGTCAACATGGGGAGGAAAAAAGGGTTCTTTCTTGGGTTACACTGATCTGTAATTGTAAATAAATAAATAAATTTTAAAGAGTAGGTAAACGGTTACTAGACGTTAGTCATTTAGGACAAAGTTTCTGTTGTATTTCTATTCAAGTTTGTTAGGATAGCATTATGAGTAGACCTATGGTATTATAAATAGACAACAAGGATACCCAAATGTATAACTGATTACCGTATTAATGAAAGTGCAATATTCAGCCTATGTTCTCTTGTCCCCCTCTGTTCCTCTACAATTCTACAGTTTCTGTTTCCTTCTGGTTTTCCTAATTTCCATCTTCTGCTCTCTACCTTCTGTTCCCCCTAAAACTCTTTCTTTCTCCTCAAAATATTATTTTTAAACTACATACACATGGAATGCCTAGAGTTAGGCACGACAATTAGGTCATATTTATAGTTCCTGCCAGAGGAATGTGGAGGAGGAAAATGAGAAAAGAATGCAAATTACTAAACCTGAGATCCTAAATCATTACTATTTCATGGTTTTGCCAGAAAACAGCATCAGCATATAAACATTACTATCAGTCCAATCACAAATGGGAGGATTGAACACGAATACGAGATAGCATAACTCAACTATACTAATTAAAGACCACTTAAAATCTAAGGCTTTTCTCATAAATATACCCGCCATATTGAAAATTTGGTCATCAAAGTCTCCAGAATCACATCTGAAATCTTCTTTCGTGCTAACATAGGAAATAAAACTAGATAGTGAAACAGCCCAGGCATTATATGTAACAAATCAGACAGTTTCAAGAATATTCATTGAAGGAAGTTAACAAGATGGAGTAAAAGATTCATGCACGAATCTTCCAAAAGCCTTGGACCCATACCAAGGCCAGGGCGGCAAACCAAGAGCCTACATGAGCGGGAGTGTGTTGACATGGAGCCGCGATAGCAAAATAGATTGGCCATTTATTTAGACTATTGTAGACATTAAACAACTGTTTGGGAAAGGCAGGGAGGAGTGTTGGTGGGGAAGTGGGTATATTGACACGAGACGTGGGCAATACAAAGACAAAATTCTGATAAAAAGACTGACCCTTAATTCAAAAGTGACAATCATACCCGGGAAATCCACAAAATGATTTCTAACTGCCCCTAATAGACCTACAGTGCCCATGTAGAGCTTCTGAAGATTAAACCTATAAAACCCAGTTCTTCATTATTATTAAATTCCCCCCCAGTTTCATGACAGATATGTATCATACTAGAAAATGATCCGGAGAAGGACCAAACCTCCAATGCATGTTTGTAACGTTGAGATTTTCTGAGTTCTCTGGAAATATCCCGAAGCTCGGACCCCGAAATGTGATTGCCTTCGCTGACCCATTTCTGAAGAACATTGGTGGCGCTCCGCTTTGGTAGCCTCAGCCTGAACAGTCTGCTCCTGAGGTCGTCGTCACCCTCCGAAGAGTTCGAAGTCTCTTCCACAAGATCAGTTCCCAACGCTCGCGAAGAGAGAAATCTAGAGATATTCGCTCCACTGACGATAGACAGTGAACGATAATTGCCGCTGACAATCCCATTATTTCGAAACCACCTATAACAAACACCCATTGGGTGAGTTCGATAGGGAATCTAGAGGAAAATCCCAATCAGTTTGGTCAATTAGAAAATTCAATCAGACAATCGAAGTTAAGAAGTTTAGAACTTGCATATTCCTGAGCCCAAGGATTGGAAGACACAGCTTTATGAAATATATGAATTGGGAAAAGTGGAGGGGAAAAACTTCGAAATCGAATAGACACATAGGTGAAGACCCAGGGAAATTGTGATTTATGCTTCATTCATCGTCTTTTTTATGCGAACCAAACATACAAGCAGTATTGCTTACTGTCTGAGAGTGAAGGCCATAGAGCGAGAAGCCATTGGCGCTGTTCCTTCTGGTTGATGCAGCTCAGTGATGTAAAAGACCGTGCGTTTATGTGCGCGTAATTTCTAGGACTTTTTTTTTTTTTTTTAAGAAGTTGCAATTGTTTCCCCAACAAACAAAAAGTTGAAATAGGGAATGGAAGAAAACAGGGCAGAAATAGGGGATGGAAGAACATGGTTTCATTGGCTTGTTTAGCTTGCTAGAATAATTGCCAGAGAAAGAGTTATGAGAGTAATAACTTTCATTTGTGCCCCCTGTTTGTTTTGAGGGGAGGGTAGGAAAGGGAAGTTTTATCCTCACCTTGTTTGGTTTGATTAAAAAAGAAGAGAGGGAAAGATATTTAATGATTCCTTGTTTGGTTCAAGAAAGGGAGGAGAGGGATAGTAATAATCAATTTACCATTCTACCCTTACATATTAGTTTATGTTTTTTATTGATATATTATATAAATTAATTTACATCTTAATTTAAATTAAATAATTTAATAAAAATTCAGTCTTATCATGTTAATATGTGTATTAAAAAATTGGTACAGTAATTTTTTATTCTAATTAATATAATAATATATTTAAAATAATCAAATTGACAAATTTTATGTGCTCTAAGAAAAAATGAAATTCTATCCTCTTTAAGCTATCTTTTTTTCCAGCTTTAAAATATATTTAATAAATAATATATTTATAAAAAAAATTAATTTTATAATATTATAATTTTTTATTTGAATAATTTTTTATTTTTAAATAATTTTTTATAATATATTTTTAATTATAATAATGTATATTTTTTATTTTTTTATTTAGGGTAATATATTTTTTATTTGAAATAAATATTATAATAATATATTTTATGGATAGAAGTAAAATATTAAAAAAATTATAAAGGTATAATGGTTTAAAAATTTGGCTCCCCTCAAAAAACCCCCAATTTAAAAGGGAGTTAAAACAAGGGAGGGGACATTTTAGCTCCCCTTCCCTCTAAAATTTTTAACCAAACAAGGGGAGGGGCCTCCCCTCCCCTCCCCCTCCAACCAAACAAACCCAAAGTTGGCCAAAAGAATTTTGTGCCTCATAAAAGATTATATTTTCTCCTATTAAAAATTGCACTGCCATTCAAGTTAATATATCTATTAAATTAAATGTTATTTATAGAGATAATCTTACTTTTTACGTTATTATAATTATTTGTGTGTTTGGGAGAGCCTTTTATGGGCAAGAGTAGCTTATTTTGCAGCAAAACCTCGATTCAAAAAGTAAGCTTTTTTGGGACTTAAGAGAGCCTGTGCAAGACCACACTAGGGGCCAAAGTCGGGCCAAATGCGTAATTCACTTTAAGTTGGGAGAGGTAGTTTTTTCAAGTGGCAATCGGGTTTAGGATCATTGGAAATTGTTGTAATAATAATTTTCTCTCATTCTTCTCGTTGTTCTCTCGTTATTTAATGAAACTCAGGTACATTTTGGCAATTTTACAACCTAAACATGCTTTTATTCAATCATAATTCAAATAATCTTTTACCTAACCTAACTTTTACAAAGCAACTTTTATAAAATTCAATCTAAACACAATTCACATTATCCAATTTAATTTTTATTCAATCTCACTTTTTCAAAAGTCAGAACTGCTAATCTAAAGAGACCCTGTATAAGTTTTGTAGTGTTTCTTTAGTATTTAATTTTATAAATTTCATTATCATATTAATTTAATAGATATTTATAATTGTATTTTTTAAAAAAATATGTTATCTTTTCTTAAATATAAGAACTAGATAACTAATTTACAAAAATTAAAAAAATTAGTTAAGCTAATTATTTATAATAAATGTACATTGATTTTCATAAAATCCTCTATTTAATCATTTGTGGTATAAACTACCTTTATTAATGAAAATTCCTTTTAGTATGTGCAATTAACATGATCGTTTGGAGAAAAATATGCAAATTTTTGAGATAAAGCAAGAACAAGGCATTACATTTAAGATTAAAGGAAACCCTTCAATCAATTGTTATATGTAGGATGAGAGGGAGTAATATTTACAAAAGAAATTTCCGGGTAAAAAACTTGAAACCTTATCAAGTTTGTTACCCCAAAAAAAGAGACTGAGACTAATAATGCCATGTGGCTAAGACATTCATAAGAAGAAAAGGTTTACTAATTTTCAAGCAGTTGATAGATGAGAATTACAGACAAACACACACACACACACACACATTTTGATACATATAATCACTCATATCTTACAGAGTACATTAATTGCTTATGGTAGATGGTTGGTTCTGCAAGGTGATCTATGTCGGAATGCGAACGCGGTCCAATGCACTCTTCTTATCGAGTGAATTTGATTGATAAAGTTCAAAGAATTGCCTATATGCCATTGAAGTGTAGGCCGGTGGGTGAGTTTCATTGACAAGCTCTGGTGCTGGGCCGACAAGTTGGTCAAATGATGGACCATTTGCTGTCACCATTGATATCCTTGTAGCGTTGCTGTACAGTACTGCTCTATGCACATTGCTCTTGTACTTCCCATTACTCACAATCTAAACCAAAAAATGTCACAATAAGTTCAAGTCAAATATGAATGAACTATTAATTATCTTAGATTTCAAGGGACTTCCATCATATTTGTCTTTGTTATATGTAATAAGCAGAAGTCCTTGGAGAACCATACCCCAAACCTTTCCAATAAGGACCCTTGGCAAGCAGCTCTCCCTGATTGGCCAGTTCTCAACAAAAGTACCATTATAATGAGAATAATTCTTTGAAATAACCACATCCTAAAAACTAGCCATTGGAATCGATAGCCTAAGACCTCATAAGGCGCTTACTTTAAGATAACTTTCCTAATATGGGACTGATAACAGTATACTATATGTATGCAGATATTATATGTATGTTGATGATGATCATAGTAGCAAAAAGGTACCTCTAGAAGATCAGCAGTGTTAACCATTAGAGCATTGGGAGGAGCATTCAGTTTGACCCAATTGCCATTATGCAACGTCTGAAGGCCGTTGATGCCATTTTCTGAGACTATAGTGAGGAAGCCATGATCAGAGTGAGGATGGAGCCCCAACGCAAGTTCAGGCTCTGGGCATGGAGGGTACAGATTTGCAATGAATAGTTGAAAGCTGGACTCCATATTCATAGCCTTACTTATGTAGTTTGGTTCCAATCCCAAACTCTCTGACACACCTTTCAATAATTCCCTTATGATTTCTCTGATTCTTTTGAAATACTCAAATGCAGCATCACTGTAGCATCAAGAACTGATGTCAGAAGAGGGATGGCAGATTAAGAATACAAGATTAAAAAGAAAACCTAACTTTCGGATCTATTGTAATAAGATAACCAGTACAACATGGCAATGAAAATAATGATTTAAAAGTTGTAAATTCATATATGAATGGCTACTACTGCTGATCAATAATACTAGCTCCGGTCCTAAATATAAGAGCTTGTTGATTAATTTGAGTAGATTAAGAAAATAAGTTAAATTGGTTATTTGTAATAAATAGATGTCTTTCCTAAAATATCTTTACTAATTAAGTTTATTAGCTAGAACTACTATTATTAGAAAGATTATTTGGGAAAAAAAAAGAATAAATATGAAAGACAAAGTGAGTTGGGATCTTGTATTTAGGATCAAAATAAAAGTCAAACAAAGTCTTATATTAAGGATTGGGGGGAGTATATCAATACATAATGTTGAATGTCCTTGATTGCTGCAGTATTCATAAGTCATAAGCTCATCTCAAACTCAATGCATAAAAAGGGGGCCTACATCTAGCTAAAAGTTAAATTTTTTGGGTGGCATCTTGCATACCTAAATCCAGCAGGTTTATGAGGGAAATGGAAGTCTGGATGCACAAAGACTTTGAGAAAATCCCTCCAGCAGTGTACTTGTTCTACAGCAGTATTGAAACTAGAGCCACATCTTATAGGATCAAAAATGTGCTTCCCTTGAAACTCTTTCTTTTCCTCATCTGAGAGATCGAAAAATCCTTTCACCCCTTCCATCATGCTGTTTATCAGGCTTTCTGGCATACCATGATTGATCAACTACACAAAATGAACTTCAGTAATCAATTCTTTGCGTAAATAGAATGTGAATTAACCAGAATAACACCCACATCAGTTTAATCTCCTCACACCAATTCAACTTCTCTCATTCTTTCAACTAAGATTTATCTCTCTATGCACATGCTTGTGCTAGTTTTCTAATTCAAGTGATGAAAAAAATTAAGTCTAAGGACCAACAAGTTGATACAGTGCAAAAGAGTAGAACAATTCTGTTTCTGCAAAAGTTAAGTCAGTAAAGTAGATTTTTTTCTTCCTTTTTTACCAAGAAGCAGCCCCATTCTTCACAAGCCTGGCCAAGATCTTGGATGGCTTTGCACCTTTGGTTGGGATTGCCTGAGGAAAGGAGAGAAAAGTCGATGATGGGAATTGCGTCTTCTGATGAGTCCAGAACTGAAAGATCATGAAGATTTTTTGAGGCAAAAGAGGAAGGTAAAGATTTGAGGCCAGATTCAGACAATGATTTGATAGTGACTGCTTTGGTTGAATGGACAGAAGGTTGTTCTGAGAAATCACTGGCAATAGTAATTGTTGCAGCCATGGATTTTTGGTAAGAGTAATGATAGAGGCAAAGAGATGCAGAGAACCAAATAAAGAGCCAGAGAATGAATTGGTGTGACGCTACTTGTAAGCGTTCACATCTTTGTATAGGCCTTATGAAGGGATAAGGATGAGTGTAAAATAGACAAGTTACAATTCAGAAAATATTTGTGATGCAGCTACGGCCAGCTCCCAGCTGTTGATTCATGCACTGTCTTGGGCTTGCTGGGCTGATATTCAATGTAAAGATAAGGCGGGAAAAGTAAGATTCTTTGGATAAAGTATAAGTGGACCATGTTCTGCCACAAGGTCAATATTGGAGGATTGACTTTCAGGGATGGAAGACTAAAAGAGGGGGGGGGGGGAACCAGCTTTTGGATCTATTAAGAAAGCTAGAGTACACTGCTGCTTTATGCAGATTGCTCTTTTACTGTCCATTATCTAAACAAAACATACCTATAGAGAAATATGCTTCAAATGCTTATCTATTTCACCTGAAAATAGAGGGAGAGTGTGTGTGTGTGTGGAAGATGAACATAGGTAATTATGGCTTATTGAAAACCTATTAACAAAGCCTATCCTACACAACTTATCACCAAACTTTAGTATATATAACGTGTTCTGATTTAATTCCTTTAGCTAAATCAAGAACGACATTCAAAAGTCTGTGGAAAATTTTAATTTTGATTTTTGAAATATTTATAGCTTGTTGATGAATGTCAGAATAATAGTAAATGTAAGCATTAAGATTTTGAGCTGTATATATTCTAGTTAAAAATTTGTCAGGGTATTTTGAGTTCTTTCTTCCCCCTTTTTCTATTGTCATAAAGAAGAAACATAGATGAGGTTCTCGGAAAATGTGTGTAGTTCTATTAAAAAAATGTGTGAAAGAGGAACAAAATACTCAATGTTCTTGACAAAAGTTGAAACAAACATAGAACATTGTCTATGAAATTTCGCCCAAAGTGACATTATTGCAGAAGTGGACAGGGAAGGAATGGTAAAATATGTTGATGAATTTTTTATCAAAAAACAGAAATATGTTGATGAATCTTTTTTCTTAATCTGGATAATGCACCAAATAAATAGCGGAATAATCAAGGGCATCAAAATATAATAAATGTTAAAATAAGAATAATTATGCTGTATTCCGATCTGTGCCCATGCCATTGCCTTTTAGCTCGACAACAGGAAGTGTATATCCTGAAGAATCCAAACTAAAATATCATGAAGATTTTTGCAGGCAAAAGAGGATGGCAAAGAAGTAAGGCCAGATTCAGACAATAATTTGATAGTATGGTTACTTTGCTTGAAGGGATGGAAGAATGTTCTGAGATATCAGTAGCCATAGTTAATGTTGCAGCCATGGATTTTGGATAAGAGTAATAAGAAGCAACCAAGGCAGAGAGAGAATGATAGAATTGAAGCACCATCTCTAGTCAACAAAGCTGTTTCACCCATTTCTTGTAAAAGACAAATAGGGAAAGTAAGCTTTTCTACGTGAAGAATACGTGGACATTTTTTCTGCTACTCTGTCTCGTATGTTTAAAAAACAAATTTGCACTTCTGATGATAATGTTCTTATTTATATAGTGCCACCTCTTGTCCTAACTATAAGAGCTAGTTGACTAATTTGAGAATGTTAATAAAATAAGTTGAGGTAGTTATTTGTAATAAATAAGTGTTGTCTTTCCTAAATATCCTTACTAATCAAGTGTATTGGCTAGAACTATTATTATTAGAAGGACTATCTTAAAAAATATATATAAATATGAGAGACAAAATGGATTGGAGTCTTATATTTAGAACTAAATAAAAATCAAACGAGGTCTTATATTAAATATTGGAGTTAGTACATGACAATCCAAAATATTTGCTTTCATTCTCAATCATTATAACTTGGGTCTAATAAATTTTACCTGTGAAATGATATAATAAATATTTAGAATTGTATTTCTTTTATGATTTTAATATTGACCTCAAATAAAAATTTCACTCTTGTTAACTAAATTTTTTGGGTTTGTTGTCACTAGCATAGATATAATTAAGAGAGAATTATGTCTAAAGATCACATTCACAAATCTTTTATCTTAAAGACCGTTAATAATCCTTACTCATTGTTTCACTAGTAAATTTGTATTGTACAAATGGTAAATATCGTTAAATATCTTTTCAATTATAAATTTGCTTTATGCGAATGATAAGCATTCATAGTTCAACTAGTAAATTTTAATTATGTGAGCAGTAAATTTGAGGGCCTTCTTAATAATTAACTTGTAAAAACAATTCCCCTGAAATTAACTATGGCGTTGAGGGCAAGTATATAATATAAATAATACGATTTTCACAATTGAACCCCATGAATTATCACAAACTAAAGCATTTTTTTTTTGTCCTAATACAACATCCAAAGCGTACGCTCAAAACAGAAGGCCTCAACACTTCCATAGACCCCAATGTCAATTTTGAAGACGCGCACTTACAATGACGTATGGGATTTCATTTCATTGACAAAAAAGCTTTGCTAATTCAGAATCAAACATATTTTATACAGAATGATTGATGCTTGGTTTGTGCAGAATGATCTCAGATGGAATGCGTAAATGTTCCAAGACAGTTTCCCTATCAAATGAGGTTGATTGTTGCAGTGCATAGAACTCTTTGTATGTCATTGAAGTGTAGGCTGGTGGGTGAATTTCATCCACAAGCTCTGGTGCTGGGCTGATCAGCTGGTCTAGAGATGGTCCATCTATAGTCACCATTGATATCCTTGTGATGTCGATGTACAATATTGCTCTATGCACATTGCTCTTGTACTTCCCATTAATCTGTATCTTCACAAAACATACCAAAGGAAGTTCTAGTCAAATACAAGGATTAGCTAACAGGAGTCTTAGACTTCAAGAAACATACTCCTCTGGTCCTAAATATAAGACTCTTATACTGGTATATATAAAGTTCATATATTTAGGACCGAAGGAGTATATGTTTATTTTAGGTATATTATATTGTATGTTTTCATCAAGATGGGAATGAGAGGAGAAGAATAGAACCTCTAGCAGATCCCCAGTGTTTACCATTAGAGCATTGGGAGGAGCATTCACTTTTACCCACTTGCCTTTATGCAGAGTCTGAAGGCCACCACTGATATTTTCTGCGACTGTAGTGAGCAAACCATGATCAGAGTGAGGAAGAAGCCCCAAAGCATGTTCTGGCTCTGGACATGGAGGGTACAGATTGGCAATGAAGACTTGGAAGCTTGATTCCCTATTCGTGGCCTTATATATGTAGTTTGGTTCTAATCCAAAACTTTCTGATACACCTTTCAACAGTTCCCATGTGATTTCTCTCATTAATTTGAAGTACTCAAATGCAGTATCACTGTAGCATCAAGAAGTGATATCAGAAAATGGGATGGCAGATGAAGAATAGAAATTTAGAGAGAAGCATCATGCATAGACACAAACACACACACACACACACCTAAACCCTGCAGGTTTATGAGGGAAGTGGAACTCAGGATGGACAAAGACTTTCAAAAAATCTCTCCAGCTTTTTACCTCTGTAGTGCTATTCATGCTAGCGCCACACTTGCTGGGGTCAGAAAGATGCTTCCCGTGAAACTCTCTCTTTTCTTCATCTGAAAGATTGAAAAATCCTTTTACCCCTTCCATCATTCTGTTTATCACACTTGCTGGGAAACTATGGCTGATCAGCTACAAAATCATGGAGTTCAGCACTCAATTCATGACATAAATAGAAGAGTGAATTATATATAAGCTGGTCTGTAGATTTCTTACCAAGAAGCAGCCCCATTCTTCACAAGCTTGGCCAAGATCTTGGATGGCTTTGCACCTTTGTTGAGAACTGGAGGAGGAGCAAGGAGAGAGAAATCAATAATGGGAAATGAGTCTTCGGATGAGTCCAGGATTGGACGATCATTGACATATTTCCAGACATAAAGAGGAATGTAAAGAGGTAAGGCCAGATTCAGATAATGATTTGATAGTGGTTATTTTGGTTTGATGCGTAGAACACTTTGCTGAGAAATCAGAAGTTGCTGCCTCCATGGATTTTGCAGAGGAGTAAGTAATGTGAGAAGCAAAGAATGCAGAGAACCCCCCCCCCCCGGGGGGGGAGATGGTGCACCGCGTCTAATAAACAAATATATTTCATTTTTTTCATGTAAAGACAAGTGGGAACAGTGAGATATTGACATATTTCTGGTAATAGTAATATAGTACGATTTGCTTTTGGTGTCGTCTTTCAATCTGTGAAATGATTTAAATCAAACTCTCACAGGGATATTTCCTATTGCAGCTGTTAATGCTATGACTTCTAAAGCAGATAACAACCTTAAACATCTGCTTGATCAAAATAAATCTACGTGGGTCCTTTCATTCTCAATTATTCCTTTTTATCATGTTTCTCAAGTTTTGATTTTGTACATGAAAGTAAGCATCTTGAAAGCCAGTGTTGTTTTTCTCTTTATAATTTTCTCCATTTTACAGATAATCTGTGGTATGTTGAACTGTTTGAGCAATTTTCATAGGATAATTTTCCGGCTACAACTTTTTCCTTCGTATGATATAATTCTAGGTGATATGCTTATGAAAATGGGTCAAGGCTTAGAAGACAAATGCTTCAAGGACAGTCATCTTCCTAAGCTATACACTAGGATAACCCTGTTCCTACCTAGTACCTAAACCAAACAAAAATCCCAAGCATTGTATGTCATGTTTACATGTTATATACTGATGGAACCAACAACTACTCACAAAACTTGTTGTTCTTTCCCTTACAAGGAGCCCATAATTTACTATTCAGCATCAGAGGTAATGAATAGACAATCCACTTGTAATGCTTTAAGCAGACACAATTGCACTGAGATATGCAGCTTGATCAATTTCACTGGTAATATAGAGTAATCAGTCAATTTTCAAAACAACGAAGAAAAATCTAAACCTTCCCGCATATGTTGATTTTCATAAAATCCTCTATATAATCATTTGTGGTATAAACTACCTTTATTAATGAAAATTCCTTTTAGTATGCGCAATTGACATGATCATTTGGAGAAAAATATGCAAATTTTTGAGATAAAGCAAGAACAAGGCATTACATTTAAGATTAAAGTAAACCCTTCAATCAATTGTTATATGTAGGATGAGAGGGAGTAATATTTACCGAA